TCTTTGCCTCCATTCTTTTTCCGAAGTGCTGGATCATCTTCACTGTCATTATTCTGAATTCTTTTTCTGGAAGGTTTCCTATCTCCACTTCATTTAGTTGTTTTTCTGCGGTTTTGTCTTTTTTTTTTTTTTTTTGCGGTACACGGGCCTCTCACTGTTGTGGCCTCTCCCATTGTGGAGCACAGGCTCTGGACGCACAGGCTCAGCAGCCATAGCTCATCAGCCCAGCCGCTCCACGGCATGTGGGATCTTCCCGGACCGGGGCACGAACCCGTGTCCCCTGCATTGGCAGGCAGACTCTCAACCACTGCGCCACCAGGGAAGCCCTGCGGTTTTGTCTTGTTCCTTCATCTGGTACATAGCCCTCTGCCTTTTCATCTTGTCTGACTTTCTGTGAATGTGGTTTTTGTTCCACAGGCTGCAGGATTGTAGTTCTTCTTGCTTCTGCTGTCTGCCCTCTGGTGGATGAGGCCATCTAAGAGGCTTGAGCAAGTTTCCTGGTATCTTAGATTAATTTTTAAGTGTATTTTCTGCCAAACTGTAGATGGCTACTGATGACCCAGTTTCGATATTGAAGAGCTGCCATTTAGACTCTAGTTATTTTTGGAAAATCTCTCTCTTCAGAATGCAGCAATTCAGTGAGCACTGAGTTTTCCATGTGCCAAGCATACCTCCTATATACCAGCCACTCCTCTAAGGACTAGTCTAGAGGCACAGAGATGAAAAGAGCCTTTGCTGTCAGGGAGCTGGCATTCCAGTGAGGGAGACAATACATGAGGTGAAATTTTCTCAGGCAAGTGAATGATGAGCAGGCATCTTCTATGTGACTGCTGGAGCCACTGGACTTGTCTAGTAGGATTCCCTGCTAGTGTTGGAGGGTCTCCTGCAGAGGCAGGGGTGGCTGTGGCTCACTGTGGGGATTAGGACAGTGACAGCAGAGGTTCTGGGAAGTACTGCTTGGCGTGAGCCCTCCCAGAGTCCCCTTTAACTACTATTTTAGAGCTGTCACTTTCTCTCTTAAATTCTGTCAGTGTTTTGCCTCATATATTTGGGGGAGTCTGTTATTTGGGGTCTATATGTTTATTGTATCTTCTAGATAAGTGTTATATCTTCTACATGAATCAATCCTTTTATCCACATATAATGTCTTTTTTGTCTCTTGTAACAGTTTGTACTTAAAGTCTATTTTTTTCTGATATTAGTACAGCCACCCCAGCTCTCTTCTATTTACTGTTTGCATGGAGTATCTTTCTCTGTTCTTTCACTTTTCAACATCTTTGTATGTTTGTATCCAAAATTAGTCTCTTATAGACAGTAAATTGTTGGATCATGTATTTTTTTTTGTTTTTCAGTACGCGGGCCTCTCACTGTTGCGGCCTCTCCCGTCGCGGAGCACAGGCTCCGGACGCGCAGGCTCAGCGGCCATGGCTCACGGGCCCAGCCGCTCCGCGGCATGTGGGACCTTCCCGGACTGGGGCACGAACCCGTGTCCCCCGCATCGGCAGGTGGACTCTCAACCACTGTGCCACCAGGGAAGCCCTGATTATGTATTTTTAAATTCATTCTGCCAATCTTTTGATTGGAGAATTTAATCCACTTACATTTAACGTAATTACTGATAAGGAAGGACTTACTTTTACCATTTTGATTTTTTTAAATAAGTCTTATGCTCGTTTTTGTTTCTCAGGGATAGTTTCTGGCAATTTTATCTGTCAATGGGTATACTTTCTAGTTTCTCTTTACGCTTCATACATTTTTTTTGAGCACTATACATTTTGAATACAATAATGTGGTAATTCTGGAATTGTCCCCCTTCTCAGGGTTTATGTTTCGAGGGGTCCGTTGTGGCGTTGTTTGGTTTAGTGACTTTTCTAAACTATTTTTATAAAAATCTGTGTATATTTTTCACCATGTATGGCCTCTGAAGTCCTTGTTTCTTTACTTTTTTAATTTAAAAAATATTTATTTATTTTGGCTGTGCTGGGTCTTAGTTGCGGCATGCAGACTTCTTAGTTGTGGCATGCGGACTTCTTAGCTGTGGTATGCATGCGGGATCTAGTTCCCCGACCAGGGATCGAACCCTGGCCCCCTTCACTGGGAGCGAGGAGTCTTACCCAGTGGACCACCAGGGAAGTCCCTGAAGTCCTTGTTTCCTTAGATTGTATTCAGCTAGTGTTTGGACAGAGATTTTTTTGAACACAAGGGGGAGTGGGAGAGAGAGAGGAAGAAGAGAAACAAGAAGGAGGAAGAGCAGGAGAAGGAGAAACGGGAAGAAAATGAGAAGTAGGAGAAGGAGGAGAAGGAGAAGGAGAAGGAGAAGAAGAAAAGGAAAGAAAAATCTTCCTTCCATTCTTTGCAGATTGGCTCTGTGCTGGGATCTCCTTCAACACTGAAGCCGTTTATGACTCACCCTTCCCCCACGTCCTGCTTGCACTCATCCTGGAGACCAGCATTAATGAAGGCTTGGGGTCTTCTCAGGTCTTTTCTAAGCATGTGTCCTGCCCTAGGCATCTGCATGGCTGTCTGAATTCCCCGACGTATGTGGGTTCACCTAGATTTTCATCAGAGGTTTTCGTTACTCAGTTGTTTTGTCACCTACAAATTGGCACTTGCCATCTACCTCTGCAAAGGATCAGCTGCTGACCTTCAGCACCCCCTGAAGGGAGTTCAGGGTGGAGAGCAGAAATGAGGTGCTCTGGGCTCTGGGGAAAACAGGCAGAACAGGTCTTCAGATAGGTATTTTGAGGAGAAGATTTTATGAGCCAAATTCTTGCATGTCCTCATATCTAGCAAAGCACTAAAATCCTTCATGGTGAACTCTGCTCCTCGTGACCAGCAGTAACCTTCGTGAGACTAGCGGAAACCTTCTGCAAAAAATATGTGCTTGATTGCATGTACTCCCCCTTCACCAAAATCACATCTATGCTGACTTCTCCGCCGCCTCTTCAGAGCTGTTTCTCAGAGCTCTCTGAAACGCTGTCTCCCGGGCTCTAGTCCTCATTTTGCCCCAGATAAAACTTAACTCACAACTCTCACGCTGTGCATTTTTTTCAGTCGACAGTCTCGACTGTCGTCTTTCACCCTCGGCAGCTGCCTCGCTATCTCCCTCCCTGACTGAGCTCTGAGCTCGGCCAAACAAAGACAAGCCTCTCACCTCAGTCCTTCCTGCAGCTCCCAGACAGGTTAGGACAGACAGATGAACAAGGCCGGCTCTGCTCCCTGGGGAATCAGGGACTGGGAAACAAGGCTGATGCTAAGCTGGAAGGAGGGTGGGGAAAGGGTGAATAAAAATGTCTCAGTGCTTTCCTACTTTTCTAACCTGTTCTTGACTCTGAGTTAAACCTTGGCTTATTTTCCACCCTTCTGGCAGCCTTTGCTTGAGTTTTTGATGTTTCTGTGCAGGGCTGGGCCCTCCTTCTGCCTGCTCTGCCGTCTTTGGTGACGTCACTCACGTTTGGCACTGTTTTAACATGTAAAATAACAACTTTGGTCATAATAATGGGCTACTCTATAAGAGCACTAAAAGTCATGCTTCTCTAGCCAAACGATTAGCCTCTTTACTAGTTTGGTCACTTTAGGGCTACACGGAACAGAGTAAGGCTCTGGATGCAAAGCACAGGGGTATGTCCTGAGGTATCCCCATGTCTGGCTTTATTTTGTCTCTGGAAGGGCCAGCAATTCAGTGGTAATTTATCTTTTCCTTGGCTGTAGATTGAGAACCCATCAAAACAAAATGTATTCCTGTAATGTTACTCTCTTTTTTTGTATAGGTTAAACATGGGCAGTGCGTTTAAGTTAATCACAGATTTTGTGCCTGTCACTCAGACCATCAGATAGAGTAAACGCCCCTGCATGTGAATTTCCTATAAGCAGCTGAACATCTTTAAGTACGAAAGACCATGATAATAATTGAAACACTTCATCTCGTACAGGATCTCACTAAGTGAATTACGCGATGACAAAGATGACAACGTTGTGTTGGCATTTAAACAACTAAGTGAAGCATTCGACAGAAAACTTGGGGGAAAAGAACGACCCTGACCGTGTCCAGTTTTCCTGAGTCCTGTGCGCCTAGGAGACAGAGATAGCCAGAATGCCACCCTTTGTGTTTCAGGACATGGGTCACTTGCCCCTTCCTGCATGACTAAGAGGAGGCTTGCAAACAACCCCTTGTTCCCTGTGACCATCCTCAACACACCCTCCAAATTCTCATGCTTTGTCTCATAAAGGATTAGCTGAACTGCTTTCTCCTGCTGACCAGCTGGGCAAAATACCTGCTAACTTGACCAAATATTAGTCAGGCTTCTCCCGTCTGCCCCCCAAGTCCCTGAACTTTAATCCACCCTTAGGCTCCTCCTGAAAGCTGCCCGGAGGGGTCCCCAGATCACCTGTCCCTGCCCCAACCGCAGGTCACTGTGAGGTCAACTGTGCAATCACACCACACACACCCCCATTCCCCCTCACCTGATCACTTCCAGCCTTGTTTACTAATCCCTATAAATTGAAGATCTTTTTCTGCTGACCTTTGAGACCCCTGCACGTCCCACAGTCACAGTGTTTTCCCTTTGCAGTAGGCTTTTCCAATTACTGCAATGGTCTTTTCCAATAAATCTCTTCTTACCTAAGTCCAGATTTGTTTTTGATTCGATTTTCTCACTGCGCTAAAGACGTAAAAGATATTACTTAACTATAGATTTCACCATTTATTGAACAGCGTATATAAAGATATCTTAGGGTGGAAAGTTTTTTGTTAGATTTCTAAGTTCTCATCAGGAATTCTAACATTTTTCTTCTAAGAGTTTTAGCTTGTGTAATAGCTATGCTAAATGTCTCAAACAATTACTACCTTGGCTTGAAATGCTAATGATTTTTTTAAAGGCAGAAATAAAACCCAAGTTAAAATTATACATCATACACTGTAGCAGTGAGCTGAACCCTTGAAAGTAGTTTCAGATATCTAATTATTACATGTTTCTAAATGTCCTGCATTCTTCCCCCAGGCAGACCCCAGGTCCTGAGCACATTTTCCATGTCCCTGAGACCAGTGGGGACACATCTACAGAGACTAGGCTGTGAGCCATTGAGAGCTCTCCACGTGGAATAAAGCACATCCGCCAGCGTCACCAGTACGTCTAGATTTATTGCCTGCGTGTCCACATTAGCCTTGCTCGCCTTCCTTAACCGCTGCTTTCTGTGACCTCATTTGTGTGTCCCCCCTGCGTATCCTGGGAGCTTATCCCTTGGGCTCACCCATCTCTGTCCCTGCTTTTGCTCTTGGCTAGACTGTGGCGTCAAACTAGATTCTCCTCCAAATCTGACTCAGTGAGTACTTTTTCTTTGCTGCTCCTAATTTAGCACATCTTCAGACACAGAAGGGAACAGCCTTGACTAATGGCACAAATCGTAGAGTTACTTCCCAGATAGGCTTTGATGCTGATGTTAAGGAGTGAAGACAGACAAGCAGCAAGGACTCTGCTGACGTTGCCTGGGCAAGTGGCTGGCTAGGCACTAACGCCAAGAACAGCAATAGCTAGAGATGTTGCCTTTACCTGAGTGGCTGTCAAATACACAGCACTCATGCACACGCGTGTGCACACACATGCCTGTTTTTCCATCTAAGTCTCTTACACAGCTCAGCTTGACAAGTATATATCTGGCGGTATTCTGCTGTTTTATACCTTTATTTTCGTTTAAAGGGGACTGAGATGTTCACTTTGGCTTTACTGCGTTTGTCCAGAGTCTCGAGTGGGGAAGGGGATGGCCATGCACCCCGTTTCCCTCATCTCTCACAGCATGCTGGGACAGCTGTAAGCAGACCCACTCCTTGTAGGGAATTGACGGTTCACATTAAATAACATATGTCAATGCAATAATGTCTTTTATTATTCTGTTACACGCAGTCTAACGAATTCCTGATTTAGATATGTGCAAATCCAGTCTCATACACTTTTGTCAATAGGTTTTTCTTGAATAACCTATTGATAATCATTATTCTTGGAATAATTTTAAAGAGAGAAAAGAAAATATGATTCTGTCGTTTTGTAATAATGCTACTAACAATGCATATTAATCACAGAATCTATATTTTGACGTGTCTCTGAAGATGAGTGCATCCTCCAAATCCTTCTTTTTATTTAGTAATCGTCAGCATCACCGGCACAGATGGCAAGCAGAGCCTTCTCGTAATGCCCTGAAGCGAAATGCTGAAAGGAAGAAAATGTAATGTATTTGAAATACAATGTCATAGTATTTCTAAAAAGAAGCATAATTCCTCTGAACTATAGAATGAAAGACCATGGGCCGTTAGCATCACAAGAATTATTTATTTTTTTCATCTAAGTATTTAATATGCCCTGAGAACTATTCCCTGGAAGTTACTGAAAAATAATACCATGGTTATAGTCAATAGAACGAAGTTTATATGAAGTTGATGGAACCCTAATGTGTTTTTATAAGAAGAATAACTTCCAGTAGAATCAAATCTTCTCCTCAGCTTGAAAGAGGTGTCCTCATTTATTGTTGTAAATCAGTGTAGAGTCTGGAGGGCAGATTGGGCAGTATGCCTCAGATGGCTTAAAAATGTTTATACTCATTAATGCAGAAATTCTACTTCAAGAAATCTGTCCTAAGGAAATAATGATCAATTATTAATGAGCCCAAGATTTATGCTCCAAAATATACACCATAATGTTATGTATAATAGTGAAAAAGTAAAAAGCAATAAATAATAATGTGGGGCAGTTTATGTACTTTAGAACTTTTACAGTGGGATCCATGATTTAATAAAAATATTACTTTAAGTAGTAAAACAGTTTTTAAAAGAAAACATGTACAAAAAAATTTTGTTATTGGTTATCTGTGGTGGAGAATTAGGGCCATTTTAATCCTTTTATCATGCTTCCGTAGTTTCTAAGTTTTCAAAAAAAAGATAGTAATAAATAAAAGGAATTATAAAACTTATCTTTGTTAAAAGTCAACTCTCACATCCATGTTCTCTTACACAAAGTTGTGTAATTATAATTCACTGCCTTAAATGCACATAGTAAAGTTGCATTAATCATATGTGAATATTAGTAGATTTTGAGGTGGCTGTCGTTAATTGCTGTATAAGTATTAGAACTAGTTTATTCATTTAGAAAATGAGTTATGACACGCATTTCTCAATGAGAAATGTTTAGCACCACTAAAAGTTTAAGGTTTTGAAGGTGGCTGTAAGGAGAGTTTTATCAAAGACGAAGGAGGAAGATGTCTCTTAAATGCTCCCTTAACCCTTCCTCTTGGAAACCACTTCAGCTCCCTGAGGGCCTACAAGGTCTTCTGGGTCGTGTGATCTCTTCCTCCTTGGGTTGTGAAGTTTCTTCCGTATCTTTCAATAAACTAAAAAGCTATTTTATGCAATTGAAAATTTCAATGGAAACAACGTGGACAAGGTAACAGGACTTAGCTATGTGCAAAATATACATTAAGATACATTCTAGGGCCCTGTGCTTGGGTTAATGCTCTGAGGGTGCCATCTTGAAGTTCTTTATACTTATTTGAACAAGGGGTCAAATGTTTTCATTTTCCATGGGGTGCCCCAAATTACGTAGATGGTCCTACATACTCTGATAATTCTTTGCTAGGTTTTATCAAAATCCAGGCTCAAGCTTAGGTGTATCAGAATGAAGAAACCACCAGCCTGTTGACTTCTGAGTCATCGCTTCTAGGCATGAGCTTCAAGGGCTCATGGGATGGCAGTGTGCAGAATTTTGCACCCGTGTGATGGGATCTGACTGGCTGCCCCCTCCTGTGACAACACAGGAGAGCTGATCTCAGAAAGCTCTTCACAATTAATGGGCTCTTCTTGCGAAACGTTTTCTTGCTGGTGCTAGTCATGCTTGGCCATTTAGCTTGTAGAGCCTCATCACATGATCGTGGGATGAAGAGTTTGCATGACAAACCAATGACTTTTGCTTAAAACACATCAAAGAGGAATAAGTTTTGTCACCGAGGTGAAGGGATTTTTCTCACCTGTCGTGGTGCAGTAAGGCTGCCTGACCTACTAATGTAGATGATCCCAGCCAGAATAGTTAACTTTTTAGATTCCACCGTGAGGTTACTTAAATTACAGCCCTTGTTTCAGTTTCGAAAAGGATCAAATATGGCTGCAAATAAGTCACGAGGAGGAGACTTACTTTGATGTCATGGAAGAGGGACTTCCCGTATCTCTCTTTGTATCGTTTCCTTATGGTCATCAGGTCTATTTCACTTCTGGCAATGAGAATCCTGATCACGGTTTTATTATGGAAACCAAAGTCCTAAAAGACACAGCCAAGGGGAGAAAAACAATAAGGAAACAGCACCTTAAAGTCAGTCTCTCTAAAATCGACTCATCCTCTTTTCTGTGGCCGTGGGGTCCTGGTCCTGTGTCCCTCAAGCCCTGGCATCCCCACCCACGGGCATCGACTCAGACTCCGCCTCCCCTCTGTGACCCGCCCCCGCCTCCCCCGGCCCCTCGCACTGTACACACACAGTCAAGTGGTCCATCTACTCTGCTTCTTAAATGCCCTCTAATCTCTATTTTCAGGGTCACAGCCTTGATGCTGGCCCCCATCACTTCACCTGATTCTGCAATAATCCTCCCTTTTATTTAAGAAAACATTTTTTTATTGGAGTGTAGTTGATTTACAATGTTGTGTTAGCTTTTGCTGTACAGCGAAGTGATTCAGTTATACATGTACATGTACATCTATCCACTCTTTTGGATTCTTTTCCCATACAGCCCATTACAGAGTGTTGAGTATCGAGTCCCCTGAGCTATACAGTAGGGCCTTACTAGTTATCCATTTTACGTGTGTTTATGTGTGTATATGTCAGTCCCAATCTCCTAATTTATCCCTCTCCCCTTTCCCCCTGGTGACCATAAGTTTCTTTTCTACTTCTGAGACTCTATAATTCTCCCTTTTAAACCTGGTCAACCTCCCCGCTGTCTCCTGAACGCTGCATCTGAAGGTGCAAATCTGATCATGTGGTCTTTCTAGGTAAAAATTCTTCCTGGGTTGGGAGGTGGGTCCCAAGCCTGTTAGATGAACGTCAGCGTTTCTAAGACGGCAATTATGTTTTTATTTTATCGTCTGCTTATTGTGGAAAACTGTAAAAGTAAGAATTCCAGGTGCTCAAAATATTTGCTGACTTAACCTCCACTACTGAACAATACACAGCCATCCCTTCCTGTGTACTAGGTCCGGAACGAATACCGCTTCACAAAGCAATTGCAGCTTGTCTGTTCAAATGGAGTACTGGTGACATCCAGTGGCCAGGAAGCAGCAGCGAATTTTTGATGTCTGAATGTTTTGGGTATAGACCTACTAACAAACTTCTCCATAACTTGAAGTGATAAAAATGAATGATCCAACCAACTTCCCATATTTAAGTTGTGTATCATTTGCTTAGAATACACAGGAGAAAAACAGAGATTTTTCTTTGGTGAGAGCTGGTGAAAACAGCTTTTGAACAATACTTGACATTGGCAGGAGGCCCTTGTATATGAACACTCTGATTACTGGAATATACACTCCTCTGCTGTACCTGCAAACCGTTCGTGAGTACGCATACCTTCCTTTTGGCATTGACACACACAGCAAGGGTAGAGTTTTTATTTATTATTAGGATAATTGGCCCTCGCTTTGGGCATAATTGGAACAAGAGTAATGTGATTATTTTCCCAAGGTCATTCACAAGTGAAGCTTCACTCTTTTTGTTGGAGAAGGAAACGGTTGATGTCATCCGATATCCTTGCCCAATACACTTTTAAATATATAGTTAATCCACCTTTATTCTTGGAAACAGAATCAAAAAGAAGCAGAGGACTGTGAGCTCTGATCCTGTGTTCTGAGGATACATGGGTTCTTGTACCTAATAGAAAATACTTGCGCATCAATAAAAATAAATAAAATATTCTTGATGATTCACGTCTTATCCAAGCTTGCTGGCTACCTCTAAGAAGCTGGTCTATGACAATTACTTTGAGGATAAAGCACTCCCGTGAAATTATTGTACCACTGAATTGATTTTAATGATTTTCTTGGAGTTTTCAGGGCTATGACATGTATAGTGATTTGTATGAGACCTTTTCATTTTCTCAATATTTTCGTGCGCATTGTGGATGAGATACGCATTGTCTCATGCACATAAGTGTTTGTTTCTTTGAAAATGAATGCACCAAAGATGTGCAGTTGACTATCACCCGAAACTAAAAAACATTCTCACTTAATTACAAAAATAGCTTTAGAGTTTTTTGTTGTCTAGATGTCTCATTTTAAGTGTTTTTTAAAATAATACTTTATGTTTAAAAATAACCACTCACCTTTTGTGTTTTTAAAGCTCAGGAATGCAGCCATTTCTTTCTGAGAGTTTGTAATGCTTTGACATTTTCTGCTTGATGCCATATGTTGTGTAATTGCCTGAGTATGAGGGGGTGGTCTTCATATGCGGTAAAAGTATTTGGACCTACCAGTTTCTCTAGATGCTAAGAAATGCTAAAGCACATCTCCCTGGGGGGAGAGGCCCCAAGGAATACTTCTTAGGTACCTCTGTTTGATACAGAAAGCAGAGCATTATCTTTATTTGATGGGTCTCATTTTGGTGTATAATATATTTCTTCACTGGAGCATATTTTCTTTGAAATTAATATATTTGCATACAAATTCAAATATGGGAATCAATATTTAAATAATTGAGGTAAAACTAGTCCTTTGAGAAAGTAGACATGATTTCTGGAGAAATTTTAAAAATACGTGGCTCATACTTACATGGATTGCACTGTATAATCTGT